ACTGGAGAGAAGCCTTATGAATGTAATCAATGTGGAAAGAATTTCAGTTGCAGCTACGGTCTTTCTTCACATCAGAGAATCCATACCAGAGAGAAGCCATATAAAAGTAATTAATGTGAAAAGGATTTTGCTCAATATCAGGGAAGAAGAAAAGATCAGAGGATATCATGGAGAAAATATAATTAATTCTCACAGTAACATATGCGTGGGATGAAATCACCTGTAAAAACAGGAGGGTAGCAGGATGCATTAGAAAACAGAACTCACCGTGTTGTGTAAAAGAAATGCCCTTGACACAAAGATTCACACAGCCTTCAAATGGAAGGATCACATTCTGTAATACCTTTGGGAACTTGGCCCCTAAACTCACTCCACTGGATGGCCTTTCACCCCATGATAGGCACTAGATTTATGAACTAAACAGTTAAATAAGGAATCCTCTCTCACCCCTTAATTTTATTCTCCAGATATGACCCCTTCATCTTCAACTCACCCTGTTCCCTCTATCTATCTATCTACTAATTTTTTCCCTCCTACTACCCTAATACTGACAAAGGCCTCATGAGTTACAAATATCATCTTTCCAAGCAGGATTGTAAATAGTTCACCCTTAATAAGTCTCTTATGATTTCTCTTTCCTGTTTACCTCTTCATGTTCCACTTGAGTCTTGTATTTGAAAGTCAAATTTTCTATTCAGCACTGATCTTTTCATCAAGAATGTTTGAAAGGTCTCTATTGCACTGAATGACCATTTTTCCCCCTGAAGGATTATACTCAGTTTTGCTGGGTGGGTGATTCTTGGTTGTAATCCTGTCTCCTTTGCCCTCCAGAATATCATATTCCATGCCCTGCGGTCCCTTAATGTAGAAGCTGCTAAATCTTGTGTTACCCGGATTGTGTTTCCACAAATGACTTTGTCTCTTTAACTTCTCTTAGGCAAAGGGGAATTGCCTAGGCAGGAGCAGGGGAAATTTATCATTGGACATAACGCTGGTAATGCTGTCCCTATCTGCACTCCCATAGCTTCATGGAATTTCCCAGAGCCCCTTCCTCGAAGTGGACACACCACACAACCATACCCAATGAGCTTCCAAAGGGCCACAAAAGAACTGAGCGAAATGAAGACCCTGGAGAGAAACCACAGACAAACCTTCCTATCCCTTCAACCGTCATCTATTGGCAATGGCTCCTGGTACACTTGGGTGTCAGTTCTCTCCACATCTTGGATATAAATGACTTTCTCTGGTCATTTTTCTTGTACTATTTGGTATATTCCACAATGTACAATGTCTAGTTTGATTTTCCTTCATTTTATTCAAATATTTAAATTTTATGTAGTTAGCAAGCTTTGAAAAAAAAAAAGATCATTCTAACTCAGATTAAGAATTCTTGTGCCCACAGTTGTGAAAGGTACTGAGTATGTTTCCTTCTGTTTTGTCTTAATGTATTTTTTTAATTAAGCAAACATTGTCAACCCTCCAACCAGCTCAAATTGAGAAAGGTAAATAAAGCCTTCATTACAAACATGTCCTGCATTGTCCATATCCCCCCACCCCACCCCCGCCGCCAAAATAGGTCTTGCCCTGCACTCTGAGTTCTTCGTCTTTTGTCAGGAGGTCAACATCATATTTCATCATTTATCCTCTGAAGTTGTGGTTTTTTATTGTGTTCATTGGAGTCCTTAAGTCAGAGACTTTTTTGTTTTGTTTTTTAAACTATATTTTAGTTACTGCATAAATTGGTCTGCTCATTACGCATTGTATCAGTTTACACAAGTCTTTCCAGTTTTCTCTGAAACCATTCTCTAAATATTTTGTTAAAACAGTTATGTCCCATCACATTCATGTGCCCTCACTTGGGCCCTTCCCCCATTGATGGGCATGTCCTCAGGGTCTAATTTCTCACCACTGTGAAAAGATAGAAACGTTCTTATAGATCCTTGAATTTGTTATGACTAAGACAAACTTGTCCCAGATGATTCCCATATGTCATCTAGCTCATCAGTGACTTTGGCTAACTGGGGAAAATGTTCATGCCAAATGTCCTTTTGAAGAAGAAGTGTTTGGAAAAAAATAACTTTTTTCAAAATGCTTGGGGTTTTGGTTTTGGTTTTTTTTTTTCCACATATATATAAACTTAGTTTTACCTTGCAAAGAAATATTCAAGTCATTTTGATTGGACATGATTTCACAGAGAGATGCAGCATTCCTAAAGAAGTCTTTCAATCATTCATATTACTGATTCAGTTCTTCATAAAATTTAACTGTCTTTTGTCACAGAGATAACATTTTGGCTAACACCTGTCCCTGCGATAGCCAACACGCTTTAGAATGATACGGCAGATGCACACTGAATACCTCATTGTTCAACTTTAGCTTGTTACAAAACTGATAATGCTGTGTTACATTTGTACTAATAACAGTTAATGATACTTACAACTTGTTGCAAAGTGTCACTTGAAATAGTAGCTTTAGCACACAGATCTTCCTGACTCCATTTCCCAATTGGGCTATTTCCTTTCTGAAAAGGAAAATTCTCCACCTGATTAATCCTGAGCCCTGCTTTTAACATCCAGTGACTACATGATTGACTGTCAGATACGATTCATGCCTGGAATCTAACAGAACTGAGGAAGTCTTTCCCTCCTGTTATGATTTATGACATTGTTCTAACTATTTCCCTCTTTTTCCTTTTATAGCAAGTTTCTATAATCAAGAATTCCTGTAAGGACAATACTAAATCTATTAAATAATAGATGGATACTGAAACATCTCTGCGTCACTATAGTAGGATCCAAGAATGAATAGCTTAGTATTTTAACCTATATTCACGGCCAAAAAATAATAATACGTGCATAACATCCTCCTAAGGAGGAAATGATTAGACCAAGTAATAAGACAAAGGTGTAATGTGATAGATGTCTAATTAAATAGGATAGCAGATTTTGAGAAAAGCAACAGGATTAAGTGGATTCCTCTAAGAATTCCATAGATACATATTGTTGGCTTCCAAAATTTCTGTCATGGAAATTCAAACTTTAAGCATGTTTTGTTAATAAGTGTTCAAATTTGGATTTTCTCATTATTCAAATATCTGTTTGATAATTTTAAAAGGCAGAAGAGCTTGTTTTATGTTTGGACCCTCAAATTTTAAAAGACTTTTATTCCAGGAACAGAACTTAGGTAAGGACAGAAACAGCAGATAATATATAAACTGAAATTTCCCGAGGTTTCAAAATTGTAAACAACAAACCAGACCCACCAGCCAACAAACCAAACCAGTCCCTGCCTTCAGGGAGCTTCTGTTTTAATGGGAGAGACACCATGCTAAGCACCTGGGCCAATCCTACTGTTATGCAGATTTTTAATTTCCTTTTATTCCTCTTGAAACTGTTATTTACTATTAACCTTACCAGACCAAAACCTGCCCCATGAAATGTGAAATTTTCCTCAGAGCCTTAAGCATTCCTTAGAAAAGAGCAATCTCACCTGTCCCTGACTCCTTGGCTACATGGACATCGTCCTCCTCAGTCTATTGGTGAATCCTCTGAGTGTCATTTAATCTGTAACCTGACTTAGTTTACCTGCGGAGTTTGGTTGGATCTTTGTTTCACTAGAGGATTTATGTGGTTATGACTCTGATGAAGAAAGTTTGTTCAACTTTTAAGACACTGAAGGAAGCATGGGATTGTGGATCTACCTTCTCTTTAACTTTTATGGCCTCAGAGGAACGTGTAAAATTGGAACATTGAACAAAATGACTTCTCTGTCTCTCTGATGCAGTTCTGCCTATAACAAGCCTTGTCAGAATCCTCAGGACTGTTTAGGTTTCCTCGGAGTTCTGAACCTATGCTTACGCATTATACTAAAGCCCAGGTTTTTACCTCCATCATTTCTGCCTTGTGGAGAATACCTCTGGCAGCAGTTACCCACCAAATGAATTCAGAGAACACCTATTCCTCTCCAGACACTCCTTCTCCAGATGTCATACACCTTGCCCCTGTCCAGTCACTCAGGATCCAGTGACATCAGCCTACTTGTTTGTCACAAGTGACTCTCCTTCTCCTGACTCTGCATTTTCACTGGTTCCCCCCACCCCCATGCCTTGAATGCTGTCTGCACCTCCTGGTTGCACTGGCTTGCTTCAAGTCTCCAGCAAACTCCCATCTTCTGCAGGAAACATTTCTTGCTCCACCATCTGTTTGATTTCTTGCAATTCACTGTCTATAGTTTGTATATAGGAAACAAACATTTTTTTAAGTGCCTGCTTTGTGCCAGGCACAAGAGCTTTAAAAATATTATCTCACCAGATCCTAACAACAACCCTGCTAAGTAGGTCCTATTAACTCCATTTTACAGTAGAGAAAACTGAGGCAAAGTTGCTAGTGTCTGAGGCCAGATTTGAGCTCAGGTTTTCCTGACTCCAGGCACAGCACTCTATCCACTGTATAACCTTGTGATTGTGTGTGTGTAGTTATTTGCAAATTATCTCCTATTTTCTTTTTCCATTCTTTGAATCCCAAGAGGCTACTAGTAGCTTAGACCAAACCAGGTTCTTAACAGAAGCTTGTTGACCTAATTACTTGACTAAACAAACTCTTCAGAATGTGAGCTCTTTGAGGACAAGGGCTGTTTCACCTTGCTTTGCCTGCCAACAGTGAGCACAGTGGCTGGCATGTAATCAATGCTTGTTGAATTGACATGATCAAGATCCAGATTATGGGAATTGGAGCTATTCTCTTACTTTCTGTATTTTAAGATCTGACAATATCAATTTTACTCAAGGAAGGGGGGAAAAGAATTAGTTTTGTTTTCAAACAGTAGGAGAACCGAGAGAGGAGTGTCACTAAAACCCAGAGAGAGATGAAAGCGTGGCTGACTGATGAAGGCTGCAGAGAAATCAACAAGCAGGAGGATGAAGAAATGTCCAGTAGATTAATCCATCTTGAGATTTTTGCTTATTTTGGAGAAAGGACTTTCCTTTGAACAATGACATTGGGAGCTAGACTGCAGAGAATTTCAGAGAAAGCAGAGAAGGAGTTGGAGACACCAGTTGTAAATGGGTGTCTCCAGTTGTTTATCCAAGAAATGGAAAAAAGATATTGGAAAATATCTCTTGGGTTGAATGGATCCAGTGACCGTTTTTGAGGATTAGAAAGAAATCACTTTATTTGTGGCAGTAGGGAAAAAGTTATTAGTGCAGGACAGACTGAAAAGTAGTGAAAGAGGCAGAATACTGAGGAAGATGATGTGCTGGAATGCAATGATTTACACTTGGAAAAGAGGTTGCTTTGCCTAGCAAAGGAGGACTGTTAATTTTCATATTGAGGTCAAAAAGGAAAAAAATAGGCACCAGGTTTATGGGAGATGAGCATGATAAAATAGCTCTTGATAAATATCCAATTTTTCCATGAAAAATGAGGCACATTTTTCTACTAAGTTGAATGGGGGTGGACAGTGGGAGCAAGCAATAAGGGGCAGTTGAGAAAGGATGAAAAAAATTGGAAAAGCTGCTGTGGTGAATGAAATAAGGAGTCAATCATGTTGTTAAGTCATTTCAGGAGCTTCTGACTCTTCATGACCCTATTTAGACTTTTTTTCTTTTTGGCAAAGACTTGAGTGGTTTGCCATTTGCTTTTCAAGTTCATTTTGCAGATGAGGAAACTGAAGCTCATAGCCCTAAGTGACTTGCTTAGGGCCACACAGCTAGAAAGTGTCTGAGGCTAGATTTGAACTTGAGTCTGCCTGACCAGTAGTCTATCCACTGCACCACCTAGCTGCCCCAAGGGAGTCATTTAGGGAGATGTCTTAGGATGACCTTGCCACAGTGAGGGCCACACTGAAATTATGTAGGCTGAATGCGTAGTGAACTCAGGCAGCCTGGCTTTATGATGTTTCTCTTTCCATTCAGCAGCATCTAAGTAGTAGTAAAGGCTATTGCCTTACTTAGCCTTACTTAGAATTAATCCAAGGCTATGTTTACATGAATCATCCACTTGTGTCCCTCCCCTGATCTCTGAGGCTCAATCTTTGGCCAATTCTTGGAGAATCATTGGCCAGATTCATTGAGTTGACAAGCACTCTCAGTTTGGGGTAATGGCAAGTGGAAACTCCCTGGTGTTCCATAGTGTGAGATGCTTCAGGTGCCCAAAAAGAGATGTCTGTGGGTCTGGTTAGGTCCCATTAGGGTTCTAACCAGACAAACATCACTCAATATAGAGGGTAATGTGCAAAAAAGAGGCAGAAACAAGGTTGAGACCGGAACCTACATTTGCCAACTAAGACGGTGACCAGAATATAGAGAGGGAGGTAGAGCCTGGGGCCTGGTGGTAGATAGCCTTGGGCCCAGTCAGTCAGTCAGTAGGTATGGATGAAGCATCTCCAGTTTTCTAGGTACCTCACTAAGCTTTAGAGAAGGGAAAAGGCAGTCTCTGCTGTTGAGGAGCTCCCAATGTGGCATACAAACATGCAGATGGTTTGAGAAGGAGCAACAGATCGGGAACCTCCCTCTTAGCTGATCCAGGGAAAGGAGAATGTTTGGGAATGGAAAGACATCTAGTTCAATGGGATATGAGGGAACTCAAGGAGTGAGGCTAGTTTAAGAAGGACAGTAGAATTAGGAAGCAAAGAGTCAAAATCAAAATAAGAATGAGAAAAATTTCAGGCACACCTCAGAGACATTGTGGGTTCAGTTCCAGAGCTCCACAGTAAAGTGAATATTACAGTTGAGTCACCTGAATTTCTGGTTTTTCAATGCATATAAAAGTTATGTTTACAATATACTCTTGTATAGACAAAACAGATAAAGTTCATTCAACATAGGGGATAAGTTATAAGAAAAAGAAAAAAACAGGGCCAAGGCTTGAACCTCCATTTGCCAACTAAGACCAGCCCTGGGCCCTGTCAGTCAGCCAATAGACATGGATCAAGCACCTCCACTTTTTTAGGCCTTTGGCTAAGGTCTTGGTATGCAAAGGAAGGGAAAACTCAGTCCCTGCTGTCAAGGAGCTCCCAATCTGACATACACACCTGGAGATGGTTTGAGAAGAAACAACAGATTGGGAACCCCATTCTTAGCTGATCCAGGGAAAAGAAGAGAGTATTTTGGGATGGAAAGACACTTAGTTCAACAGGGAAGACAAGGAATGAGGCTAATAATGGTTGAAGAAGTAGCAGAATTATGGAGGGCATAGGGCAGTTTTCCTTGATAATTTCTTGAAAAATGTTGCCCAGACTTTTTTTTTAAATTGTTGCTTTCAGGTAATCCTCTAATTCTTATATTATCTCTCCTGGACCTGTTTTTCAGGTCACTGTTTTTCCAATGAGAAGTTTCACATCTTTTGTTTTTTAACTTTTTTGATTTTGCCTTATCATATTTTAATGTCTCATGGAGTCATTAGCTTCTACATGCTCAATTCTGATTTTTAAGGAATTATTTTCTTTAGTGAGCTTTTGTACTTCCTTTTCCATTTAGCCAATTCTGTTTTTTAGGGACTTGTTTCCCTCAGTAAATATTTGTATATCTTTCCCTAGCCTATTGATTCGTTTTTCATAATTTTCTTGCATTACTTTCTTTTCCCAATTTTTCTTCTCCTTCTCTAATTTGCTTTTTAAAATACTTTTTAAGATCTCCCAGGGATTACATTTTTCTTTGAGGCTTCATATGCAGCCATTTTGGCACTATTGTCCACTCAAGTTGATGCCTTGAGTCTCTCTATCACCATAATACCTTTCTATAGTCAAGCTCTTCTTTTTTGTTTCTTGCTCATTTTCCTGCCTGTTTTGTGACTTGGTGCGTATAGGGAGAGTTGGACTCTGCTCCTGCACCGTCCCAAGCTTTTTGTGCTGCAGCTCAGGGCCTTAAAGCTGACTTTCACTGGGCTTCAGGGCTTAGATGCTTATTTCCACTAGAGGACAGGTCTCCCTTCTGGCTTGTACTTGGGGCTGGGGCTTCCCCGATTGGTCTGCCTGCTGGCCTGCCCCAGGGGTGGGTCTGGCTGTTGGCCAGCCCAAGTGGGGCCTCACTGCTGGTCAGCAATGGGGTCAAGGCCTTGCTAGTGGCTTGTTCTGGGAGTGGGACCACTGGGGTAGGGCCTTGCTGAATGTGGCTCCTCAGTGTTTGAATTCTTTCTTTCTGGATCCTTACAGTATTTTTTCTTTGACCTTAAAGCTTTGGATTTTTACTAGAATGATTCTGGGAGTTTTCATTTTGAGGTATCCTTCCAGAAATGACCAGCGGAATCTTTCTATTTCCAGTTTGACCTCTAGTTCTAAAAAGACCTGGCAGTGTTTTGGGTTTTTTTTAATTATATTTTCTTGAAATCATATTTATGGTCATGGTTTTCAGACAGTCCAATTATTCTTAAATTTTGGTTTTTTTTAGGCAATTGGGGTTAAGTGACTTGCCCAGGGTCACACAGCTAAGTGTCAAGTGTTTGGTCTGAGGCTGGATTGGAACTCAGGTCCTCCTGACTTCGGAGCTGGTACAAATTTTTTTCTTCTTATTCTGATTTCAAGGTCAGTACTTTTTCCTATGAGATGCTTTACATTTTCTTCCCTTTTTTTCTTCACTGCTTTGATTTCATTTTAATATTGTTCATTGTCTCATGAGGTACAGCTTCCCTTTGCCATTTATATTCTGCCATATATTTATTGCTTGGGCAGGTTCTGCAGCTCTTGGGCTAAGTCCATAATTCCTCTTTTGATCCCTTCTTCCACATTTCTCATTTCTTTCCCTTTTTTTTCCTCTAGTGTTCTAATGTAATTTTAAAAAACATTTCTAACTCTCTTAATCTGGCTTGATCTTTTCTATTATTTCTAGGTGAATTTGCCCACCCTGTTCTTTTCTTTGAGGCTTTGCTTGTTGATGTTCTGAAGTCATTCTCTTCTTCTGGGTTTGTATCTTGAGCACCCTTGTCACCACAGTAGCTCTAGTGGTGGGATTCTTTATTGTTCGCTCATCCTTCCAGCCCCCTTTCTGACTGGAGTTGATGTCAGGGCCAGGATCCCTACATTTCTGGTTGGAATATCTCACATGGACCTGTTGCTGCTTTCTTGGGGTATTGAATGTTATATTATTTCAGGACCTCAGGGACAGCTCAGGCTGGAGAGCTGCATGCTTTCAGTGCTTCCAAAGTGGACTGATTCCCTTCCCACATCCCTGTCTGATCTCTGAAAATTCCTGATGGATTTTTGGGTCTGATCAATATGTCTGTGGCCTTACCCCATGTGGAATTTCATGAGATTCCTGTTGCATTCAGTCATTGTAAGCCAGCTGGACAACAGTGCTGTCTGAAAGTGACAGAACATTTTCATCTGACTTACTTACACCCTTCCTGGGCCATGCAACCTGGCCCTCTGGGGCATGCTTGGGACTTCTAGTCCTAAGGACTTGTATGTCTTTTCCTTGGCCCAGCCCCTGGACTTTCTATTCTGTTGTCTTCCCTCATGTGTGAACTTGACCATGAACAGTCTGTCTGTATGTTATCCCCGGTGCTGAGCATGGCACTTATCACCTAGTAGCAATAGGAGTTCAACAAGTGCTTTTGCATTCATTCATTCATAATGTCTGGATTGTGGCTGTTCTGACCCTTCCCATAAGTGCCATCTTGATTTTATGAAACAAGCATTTCTTTCTCCGGTTTAGAAAAATCTTAAGGATTTGGCCAAGGTAGGAAAAACAAATTAGCAATAAGTAGGGACTATGGGGGTGCAGTGATATTCTGATCAATGATATTGAATGTTGCATGGTTTCAATCTGTTTTTATTTTTGTGTAAGATGTGCTTTAGTTTTACAATTGGGGCTGGATATTGGGCACTCTTACAAGTTTGTAGAAGTTTCTTCTAGATTCTGGATGTTAAGTTTTAAGTTGATGAAGTTTCTATTTCTTTTTAAGCCAAAGATTAATGTCATTTGTTAGTCAAAATCGAGTAATTAAATTATTCTGGATAAAAAAAAAAGACAAAAAAGAACTTCAAGATTCAGGTCAATGGGCACCTTTTACAGGGAACTTTTCTGCTCCCTAAGCAACCAGTGCCTTCCCCTGTGAGACTGACCACCTTCTGTCTATCCTCTGTGTGGCCTGTACGCATCCAGGTGACCCAGTAGATAGAGAGCTGGGCTGGAGTCAGGAAGAGCTGAGGTCAGAGGTTTCCTCAGACACTTATCCTTTCTCTAAGATTGCCCAAGTCACCTCACCTCTGTCTGCCTCACTTTCCTTACCTTAGAAAATGAGGAAGTTATTAATAACACCACCTCTCCAGGTTGTTTTGAGCCTCATTCAATCAATAAACATTTGTTCAGGGTCAGGGCCTACTTTGTGCCAGGCACTCTATTAAGTGCCAGAGATACAAGAAAAGACAAAAGCCAGTCCCTGCCTTTGAGAAAATTACAACATAATGGAGGAGTCAACATGGAAACCCACACATACACACACACACACACACAAAAGTAAGCTATATACTGGATAACGAGGAAATAATTAACAGAGAGAAAGTACCAGAATTAAGAGAGGTTAAGGAAGGCTGCCTATAGGAAGTGAGATTTTTGTTGGGACTTCATGGAAGCCAGGGAGGTCAGTAGCTGAGCTGCGCTGGGGGTGGAGAGCATTCCAAGCATTGGAGATAGCCAGAGAAAATGCCAGGAGACAAGGAATGGAGGCTCTTGTTCATGGAACATCCAGATGGTTTGTATCACTAGATGATGGTGTATTTGTCAAGGAGACTGGAAATGTAGGCAGGAGGCAGGTTATAAAGGGCTTTGAATGCTAAACGACATTTTGCATTTGATCCTGGAGTCAAAAGGAAACCACTGGAGTTTATTGAGTAGGAGGTGAAATGATGCGACCTGCTCCTTGGGAACATCACTGTGGTGGCTGAATGGAGGCTGGACTGAAGTGGGAAGAGGGCTGAGGCCACTAGACCCACCAGGAAGGTATCACAATAACACAGGTGTAAAGGGATGAGGGCCTGCCCCAGAGTGGGGGCTGTCATCTGTCAAAGGGATTTGCAAACCTCAAAGTGATATAGAAATGCTAGCTACTTTTACAGGTAATTATTTCCTTACCTACTGTCTCCCCCATTGGGACCTTTTCCCTTTGGATCCTGAGCCAATCCTGACCCTTTGCAAATGCTCAATCCATGCTACTGGCTTCCTGGCTGGAGTCATCCTTTACTTGTTCTGACACTTCCTGGGTGCTCTGTCTCTTGAGGTTGTCTGTGGTGCACAACAATATACAGAATAAATGTTTATTGGAAGGGCCCTCAATGACAGTTAGTCCTACCTATACCCAAAGTAAATCTCTAATAAGAGCCAGAAGTGGTCTTCCAGCCTCTACTTGCAGACCTGTAAGGGTGGGGAGACCTGGCATCTCTTGAAGCCATTCACCCCACCTGAGGACAACTTAGACATTGTTGAGTTTGGGTTTGGTTGTGCTGTGTTTTTTTTTTTTTTTTAATTAAGCTTAAATTGGCTTTCCTGTACCATCTGTGCTTGTCCCCTGGTTCTCCTCTCTGGAGATCAAGCAAACAAGTTCAAGTTTGAGCCCTCCTCCATGAGACTGCCCTAGAATTTCTAACACTAAATTTACTGGACAGTTTAACACTCTTCATGTCATCCTCTCATTCCTGTTCTTGCTTCCACCATCTGTACATTGTGTTTTCTAAACTAAGTTTGGTGATGAGCAACCTCTGACCCCATAGTAGTCACTTGGGACAATAAAGGTTTTTGTTTTTGTTATTGAGATTATTTTCCTTTGTGTCTTCAGGATTAGATCCTTGAATGTGATTTATTACTCTTGGGCTAACTTCCCCTATAGAATGAAGCTCTGGTGCTTACCTATCCTTCTTCTGAGCCCTTTGTAACCTGCTTTTTCCAAATCCATGGTGCCCTATGGTGCCTATCCCCTGATATTCCCTCCTCTATTCCACATTCTAGAAGGGGTGATCACTTCTCTCCAGGGTCCCATCATTTCTAAGCCAACATCAACTTCCTTCCTTTTGGTGACAATCTAATAATGAATAGGATATCCCCCTTGTAGGTTCCTGCAACTTTTGAAAGATTAATTTATCTTGAAGACCAAGATATTGTTATTGTCATTGGCACCTGTGCTTTTGAGAGAAATAGGAAGAGAGATGGAGGAGAGGGAGAGGCAAGAAGAGAGGGGAAGGAGAAAGAGATCGAATGGAGTTTTCCCAACAAGACTGACTCATGTTTCTGTTCCAGGCTTTGTTCTTTTTCCTTGCAGGACCAGCAGGAGCTTCCTTCTTGGATGGTTTTGGTGGATTTGGCTCTTGTTGCATGAATTGTTTTATCCTTTCCACCAGCTAATGCCAATGAGCCAGCAAGAATCAGAGAAAGAGGTTTAATCCACCCAGAGTGTGGCAAACCCCACCTGGCCTTGAAGGGAAGGTGTGGCATTCACAATTCAGCCAGCGGTGTTTTTACAATACTGGAGACAAGGAAAAAAAGTGGCTATTCCTTGTGGTGAAGCTGGCATGCAAAGACCAAAAGGTGTGCCTGTTAAGGCTTTGTGTGTCTTCACCTCCCAGGGGTAAAGGAGGGATGGGTCCTTGTTAGTAGAGCTAGTTAGCCTAAATCCCAGGGAGCTTTTTGTCATGGTAGATGATGGGGAAAGGGCATTCCAGGGAATGTTGGGAGTCCTTTTGCTTTTTTTAACCAGATTGAAGAGTTGACCCTGAAGTGAATCTGTTGTTGTAGCAGCTGGTCCTGAGGTTCATGCAGCAGTCATAGAAGACAAAAGGTAGGTTATGGAACAAAGCGGAGTCAGTCATGTTCTCCCAGAAACTTATTTTCAACACTCCAGGGATGTGCTGGAGCCAGCTTCAAGCGGCTGGGGAGGCTGGTTGTTAAATGTTTCACGTGAACATCTAGTTCAAGGAAATCAGCAAAAGCGACAAGTCACGTCTCGATGGGCTTGCTGATTTTCTAGACATAAGAAAGTGATGATCTCAATGAACAGAAAATGTAAAAGTATATTATGCTCACTTTTTTTTTCTTCCAGAAAGCCAGTTGTGAAACCTTTACTAGCTCACCATTGTCTGACGCCCTTTTTCATTCTTTCCTATAGGGATCCCAACAAAACCCTTTCCCCCACCATGTGAAGGCACCAGGAAAGCCAGGAATCCCTTTTGCTCTGGACAAAAGAAAATGGGAGGTAGTGGGTAGAAGCAAGGGCGGTTGAGTATTGATACCCCACTAACTAAAACAAAAGGGAGAAGCAGCCTAAGGTCAAAATGATAAAGAGAGAATGGCTAGAAATTCGGCCCAGAGGGCAAGAAGGTCAACTTGTGAGAATAATAAAACAGTGAAAAATGAGGGTTGTTTTTTGTTTTTGTTTTTTTAATTTTTTTCTATATTTTTAAAAATTTATTTTTAGTTTTCAACATTCATTTCCACAAGATTTTGAGTTCCAAAATTTTCTCCCCATCTTGTCAAGTCCCCCCACCCTAAGACGACATGCATTCTGAAAACCCCTTCTTGCAATCTGCTCTCCCTTCCATCTTCCCCCGCCCCTTCTTTTATCCCCTTCCCTTTCTATTTTCCTGTACGGCAGGATAGTCACTGCCCTCTTCTTCTGTGCTCTGACCCTTACACGTGTGGGACCCTTGGTGTCTTACAACCTGGACTGCACCTCTCCAACCTAAAACTCTGACCAGGAACTGGGTAATGGGTGATGGAGTTACCAAATGTCTCCTGATCCTGTGCACAGTAGTAGCTGAAGGGATTCCATGGAACTTTTTTCTGACCAGCCGTCCAGTCCCCTTAACACCCCAGTCCTGCTGCCTTCGGTGCTGTGGTCTCTACAGCCCATAGCCAATGCTGTTTCTGGCACACCATGCTCCCAGCTGGCTCCCACCCCAGAGTGTATAGACCTCTCTATGTCTTCCTAAGCTACCCTGGGCTGCAAAAATGATTCGCTGAGAATTTTATCTTTTTTGCTCATAATTTATTTAGGTGCATTTGTTTAAGTTATTAAAGACAGGGCTACTGCCAGATTAAGCAAGCATGCTGGTCTCACGCTAACATCTTAGATCTCCCCCTCCCTGCCCCCCATTTGCTTTTGTATATTATGCATCTGATCTGTTCAATTTCTCAAGCTTTCCATATTTAAGTATTACAAAACAGTTTGTGCTATAATGTCAGATTTGTTCCTGTTCCTCCTTCCTAGAATACTGGAAGAGGCGGTGGAAAGAGACATATGAACTCACTTTTCATGGGAACACAGATTTAGAGTTGGAAAAGACCGAACTTTCTCATTTAGAGACGAGTAAATTGAGGCACGGAGAGGTTGCTCCTTGCCCAGAGTACACACAGATAGAGAGCATCTGAGGCAGGATTGGAATCCACATCTTCCTGATTCTAAATCCAGTGCCCTATCATTACAACATACTGCTTTCCTCTACACTGTTTTGAACATCAATTTCAGTTAAAAAAAAAGTGACTCAAGTGTCCATACCTTTCAGCTAACGACTCTACTAAGAGACTTATGACCCAAGGAATAATAGTAATAGCTAACATTCATGTAGTAATTGAATGCTTGCAAAATGCTTCATGGGTATCATCTCATTTGATCCTTACATCACCCTCAGAGGTAGGTGTTATTAGTGTACCTATTTTACACATGGGGAAAACTGACGCAATTGCCCAGAGTCACATGGCTAGAAAATGTCAGAGACTGAATTTGAACTCAGGTCTGCCACCTACCAGCCTAAAGAAATAAATGTCCAACAGTTACTGAAATATTTATACCAGAATCTTTTGTGTCAACAAAGAGCAGGAAACAAGTTAAGTATCGATCAACTGGAGAATGGCTGATGAAGTTACAGTGCTTGAATGCTGTAGAATATTACTGAGGAGTACTGAAAAACAATAGTATTTCAAAAAAAATTTCATTATAGATTTCATAATATGAAATCTGGGATGTGTAATTAGGTCTGTGCTGAAGCAAGAGATCTTCCCTTGTTAATTATTCCATAAGCTTTACCTATAGCATTTCTCCAATATGTGGTCAAGTATGAGCTTTATGTCAAGGCTTTCCCACAATCATTGCTTCTGTAATGCTTCCTTTCAGTGTGAATATTCTGGTGTCTAAGGACAACCCTCTTTAGCAATATGCATGTCACCACTGAGCACATTCATAGTTTTTCTCTACTATGAATCCTCTGATGTAAAGTAAGATATGATCTCTGACTAAAGGTCTTCCCACATTGAGCCCATATTGAGTTTGTCCCCAGAATGAATTTTCGGGTATTAAACAAGCTCTACATTCCACTTGAATGCCTTTCCCCATTCATTATACTGATAAGATTTCAATCTAGTATGAATTCTCCGATGGGAAATATGGGATGAATGTTACCAGATGGCTTTACGGCATTACTTGTATTCACGAGGTTTCTTTCCAGTGTGGATTCTCTGATGATCAGCAAGATTGGAGCTGCGTCTGAAAGTCTTTCCACATAGATTACAGTAATAAGGCTTCTCTCCATGGATTCTCTCATGTTCAATAAGATTGGAGCTGCATCTGAAAGTCTTTCCACATTGATTACATTCATAAGGTTTCTCTCCAGTGTGGATTCTCTGATGATTAGCAAGACTGGAGTTCCTTATGAAACTCTTTCCACATTCAATACATTTATAAGGCTTTTCTCCATTGTGGGTTCTCTGATGTAGAACAAGTCTGGACTTAAATCTGAAAGTCTTTCCACATTCATTACATTCATAAGGTTTCTCTCCAGTGTGTATTCTCTGATGTTCAGCAAGATTGGAGCTGCATCTGAAAGTCTTTCCACATTGATTACATTCATAAGGTTTTTCTCTAGTGTGGATTCTCTGATGTACAGCAAGTCTGGAGTTAAATCTGAAAGTCTTTCCACATTTGTTACATTCATAAGGTTTCTCTTCATTGTGGATTGTCTGATGTTCAGCAAGACTGGAGCTGCATCTGAAAGCCTTTCCAGCTTCATGAGATTCATGAGGCTTCTCTCGAGTGTGGATTTTCTGATGTTCGGCAAAACTGGACCTCTGTCTGAAAGTCTTTCCACATTGGCTGCATTCATAAGGTTTCTCTCCAGTGTGGATTCTCTGATGTTCAGCAAAACTGAAGCTCTGTCCAAAAGTCTTTCCACATTGCATACATTTATAAGGTTTTTCTCCAGTGTGGATTCTCTGATGTTTAGCAAGACTGGAGTGGAATCTAAAAGTCTTTCTACATTCCTCACATTCATAAGGTTTCTCTCCAGTGTGGATTCTCTGATGTTTAGCAAAACTGGATCTACAACTGAAAGCCCTTCCACATCTATTACATTCATAAGGTTTTTCTCCAGTGTGGATTCTCTCATGTTGAGCAAGACTGGAGCTGCATCTGAAAGACTTTCCACATTGATTACACTCGTAAGGTTTTTCTCCAGTGTGGATTCTCTGATGTACAGCAAGACTGGCCCTCTGTGTGAAAGTCTTTCCACACTGATTACATTCATAAGGTCTCTCTCCAGTGTGGATTCTCTGATGTGCAGCAAGACTAGAGCTCTGTCTGAAAGTCTTTCCACATTGATTACATGCATAATGTTTCTTTCCAGTGTGGCTTCTCTGATGTACAATAAGGGATGAGTTTTCACTGAAAGCTTTACCACATTCACAACACACATGAGATTTCTCTCTAGTATGAATTGTTTGATGGGAAATAAGGGATGACTGCTGCCTGAAGGCCTGTTTGCATTGCATACATTTATGTAGCTTTTCACTAGTATGAAATTTCTGATGGCGGATAAGGGATGACTGTCGCTTAAAGGCTTTGCCACATTCATTACATTCATAATACTTCTTTTCATTGTGAATTTTCTGATGGTCAGTTAGCTTTGAATTATGACTGATGACCTTTTTGCCTTCATTACATATATGCAGCATTTCTCTAGTATGACTTTTCTGATGCCTAATTAGGTCTGAATTCAAGCTGAAGGCCACCTCACAGTGATTACATTGATAAGTTTGCATTTCCAGAGGCTTCTTATGAGACTCAACAACCCCTGTCTGTTTCGTAAAGCATTCTCTATATTTATTATCCTGAGAACAGTCATTCCCCAAGGTCACTTTCTTATGGTGAATTAGGACTGAACATTGTCTGAACCTCTTTCCACCTTTATCCAATTCAGAGTGACTCTTTTGTTTTTTCCTTATCTTGATATGAGAGTCACACACTTCTCTCACATTGATATCACAGTGATCATCATTCATGAATCTTTGCTGTTGTGATTCTTCCACAGAAACGCTCAGCTCTGAAGTAGTCTTCCTTATTTCAAGCCTGGCCTCTTCATCTGAAGGAAACAAAGAAACAAATAAACACACACATGGACACAGACACCTATACACAAATATATCCTCTTCCTCCATTGACGGAAAGTAACTGATTTGTAATCTGTTTCCCTCAAAAAAGAGAAGAGTCTTCAAACTTACATGGGCAGAATCAATCATTTGAAAATGCCATCAGCTCACATCCCCAGGATGATTTAATGTACAAAGAGCTTCATATACAATAACATCGGATCCTCAAGACAAACCTGTGACACAGGTAGGCCCAGCATTCTCATTACGTCCACAACTCAGGCTGTGAGCTCAGAATCACTGAATGACCTGACCAATATCCCTGAAGCTGAGACTAGAACTCCAACCCTGTTACTGGGCATGCTCCGTCCATGGTACTAGATGGCCTTTCTCTACTGAACTTTTTAAAACATAAAAACTATTTTATTATTGCATGTTGACTTGTTTGAATTTGTAAGCACGTGAGCAAACCATTTTAACAAGTGCCCAACGTAAGCAGTATGCTTGGCATGTCTGTAATATCATTGCTGCACAAGTATGAGTTAATTAGTATGAGAAATGTACTGTAAAAGTAAATTTATTTGAGTTCAAACATTTTTGAAATATTAAATTTGGTTGAATTTTTAAAGCTAAATTTCTTGTCAAATTCTGTAGTTAATTTCATTGGGCTTATTAAAAATAGTGACTGTTTTGCACTCAGCTGTTTGAAAAGTAGTGTCTTTGGGAAGGCATGGCTAAGTTCCCCAATTGTAGGGAATGGACCAATGCCAGCAGACTAGAAAGCTATCCCTGCCAACTACCACAACTGGGCAATGATCACTGAAACAACCAGGTCTGGCTCAGTCTTCTGGCAATTCCTTCCCTTCTTAGTGACTTTCCGTACCTCTACGTCATTGTCCTTCAGTGACTGTGTCGGCATATTCTGGAAGATCCCCACAGGTGACCATCATGACTCCACTGGCTTCTGCTCTAAGGATACTTTCAAGCAGAGAAGTCTTAGATTTTTGCCTGTGCCTCAAATGAGGTTCCCAGCTCCTAAGTGCCCACAGCACAGAGTGAATGCCTTCTTCCAGCTAGATGAAAGCCACTCTTCTAGCAGCGAAGTGGTGCAGTGCATAGAGTGTAGGGCCGAGACTCAGAAAGACTCATCTTCGCTAGTTCAAATCTGGTCTCAGACACTGACTAGCTGTGTGACCCTGGGCAAGTCACTTCACCCTGTTTGGCTCAGTTTTGTCATTTGTAAAATGAGCTGGAGAAGGAAATGGCAAATGCTCCAGTACCTTTGCCAAGAAACCCAAACAAGGTCATAAAGAGTTGGACATGACTGAAAAATGACCTAACAACTTCTTCCAATCATGTCTAGCACTCTCCACACTCAGACAAGAAACCCAAGGTCAGGGTGTGCACTCCAGCCACAGGGTACAAATGCTGCAGGTCTGGCAGGGGTCCCACCTGTTCTGCAGGATACTATACTCTCCCCTGAGGGGCTGTTAGCTGATGGACTCTGTGGCATCACCCCCAACCCCCAAGGATCCCTGGCTCCGAGAGAGCTCCCAGAGGCAAGAACCCCAAACAACTGGCTACTTAAATTCATTATGTTTAATTGGCTTTTCTAAGTTGGCTCAGTCATAAAAGAAGGACTTTGGGGAATCCATGTATTCAGGGCCTCAACTGGGACAAGTGGGGAATACCCCATTAGTCACTGTCCTCTTTCATGAGGGCACCACTGTAGAGCCACTTATGACAACTTCCTAATAATTACTCTCCCTGAGTCACTTGTGACTGCTTCTGCTGGTTTCCCATTTAATATTCCTTTATGGGTGAAAACAGGGGCAGGTAGTAGTATTTCCATGAGAATCCCCCTGGGAAAACTGCTTAAATCCTGGAATCAAGGCAAGCTGCCAGTTCAGCTGGGAACCATGAAACTGTTCTGTTAAATTAAGTGACCTTTGATCTAAAACTGCTAGAGATTCAGCAGATGAATTATTTTGGCCTAAATTTGACACTTTGGGTTATTGCTAGTTGGAGAACTAGCCATTGAACAACCTCACCCAAAATAAATGAACTCTCCATTTATATGCGGCGTGGGACATGCCCACCCCGCCTTAAAGGGCCTGCTTCTGACTATTCGACTGTACCCTCCTCTTCTGCTCCTCCACCCCATTCTCCTTCCACTACAGCAAGAGATCTAACATCTTTCAGACAAGAGGGACAACTGCTAGTGTTTTTTCTTTCCAAAAGAGATTTATACCTGATGTCACCCAGCCTGGAAATCCAATACAATACAATTAAGTCTCCATTTTGTTATCCTAGAAACTGGCCAACGTGAAAGAAGAGATAAATCAAAGAGGAAACTGAGGCAGAAAAGTCAGGCAATCTTGACCACCGCCCAAATCCCCCCAGTCCTTTTTGAGCCTTGCCACAAAACCTCAGGGAGTGAGTATGCTTTTATTGCATTTTGCTAGAGATTGCAGAAAGAAAAGGAGGGAGAATAAAAATGGAATGCTGGGAGGATCTAGACATAAATTCATAGCATAAGAGTGCTGGGATAAGTGTCTGTCTTATCTGTGCTTCATGCTAATCTACGCTGGCGGGGGTTTCCAAGGACTGGTTTTGTTCTATGTGCTGGTAACTCAACCTGGCTTTTTCCTTTGATTGATCGGCCAAGGAAAAAGGACTGTACAACGTGAAACTTTCAAAAGTCTTCAGAAAAGACAAGTCTCTCTTTTCTCTCTATATTTCCAACACTGGCCATGTTGGAAATTACAGAGATGAAAGATGAATGCAAAAATTGGTTAGAAACTAAACTTGTGATTAATATGTAATTTCTCTACTAAAATTTTCTAAATTATGATTTGAATGCTTTTATGAGTATTTCTATGAGTTTGCGGAAGTGCCAGTCTACTGAGATTGTTTAAATAGAAATAAAACTTTGTAAAGTATGATAAAAACAAAAATTATTAGATATACTAGGTTACTTCAAAAAAAATGAAATGCATTGGAGAATTAAAGATTGAAATTAGACTCTTAACTACTCAACTACACTTTCCCAAAGCAGTTTCAGTCTTGAGTCTGAAGTTTTGGAAAAGATACACTTAAAAACTGCACTTAAAGGGAATGACAAACAAACTTATCACAGGATGGAAAGTGATTCTTTTTCCTGATTAAAAGGCAGAACAGGAAAATTTTAGACCACATTTAGTTTCTCTCTCAAAAATAATAAAGGTAAGTAAAGTTGAAATTTATTCACCCTTTTGTTGCTTCCTGCTTTTATACAACCAATCTGAAGACACCAAGCAAACCGTGTTATCAGCCCCTACCTTGGGACCCCCAAATTGAAGGTGAATCCCAAAATACAATTTCCCAGGGAGAGAAAAATTTCTTTTAAAATGACAAAGCAACCAAAAATTAAGGCAAATTTAATGTTTTTTCTGTGAAGCTATAATAACTTAGGGAAAGAAGAGAGAAGAAATATCCTTCGCCCTGGAGTGATTTGAAAGGAAATAGAGAGAAAGTTCCAACTTGAGCCTTTCAGAAAATTATAGGATCCATCTGACACTGATTTTTTTTTCAGTAGTGCAATTCTTGTTAACTCTAATTAGCATATGAAGTCAAAATTATGTTTTAATAAAAGTTGATACCTTAAGTTAAGAAAGTATTATGCTACAAATCAAAGGCTATTTTTAATCATTTTAATTTTAATCATTTTAATCATTGTTAACTATTTGCCAATGAGGCAAATTTTAGAAAAAACTTTATAACAATCTGCTTTACTATCAAAGAGTTAATGAAAGAGACATTAAGAAAGACTACAGTAATCTCTTTAAACATCAAAGATTTGTAAAGGGTACTGTTTAATTTACACTTAATTGTTTTAACTAGAACCAATGTGATATTCACATTTGTCTTCCAATAATTATGTTCTCACCATCACTTTTCAATCTTAGTTAATTTTGTAAAATTAACGCATAAGCCAATTAAAAAGTGTGCTCTGAAATCTGAGACCCTGGCAGCTCATGGCCCTTGGGAAAACTGAGGTTATAAATCGTTAACATCAGTGATTATATAGCTATATTTGATTGAGTTGAGTCCAAAAATTGGATTAGTATGATAAGGATCTCTGTTCATTTAAAATCATCAGGAAATTAACTCCTCCATTGATGAGAAATCTAAAACTCTTACTCGCTCAATTAGATACAATAATTTAATAACCTACAGTATTAGAAAATATCACAAACTTTGTAAAAGAGGGAGGCAATTAGAAACTAAGATCTTTCACAGTTAAAGAAAAGGTGCTTACAAGTTTCTTTACACTTTTGGTATCAGCACCAAAACAGAAACTGCTTTTATACAATAGACTATATATTGTAAAAGAAAGCAGTTGAAATGTGAAAATATTTGATTTAGAGTACATAATAAAGTGGAGAGCAATAATAACCCTGTTGTGAGGGGAGTAGCAGAGACTCTCTAAAGCACCAATATCGGTGACGTTCCTTTGCCATCACTGGGCTCTGGCCAATGGTCCAGTCAGTGCCTTGTCGACTCCTTTGTGAAATGGGTGGGTGAGACAGAGGCTTGTGACGTGTTGCTTCTTCCCAAACCATCTCCTTGTTTTTATAGTAGATTGTGAACTCCTTGACAACAGGGGCCCTCTATGGCCTTCCTGTGTATTGCCAGAGCTATGCACCGTGCCTAGAACATGGTGAGCACTGAATCCATGGCTGTTGTCTGTCTGGACCTAGGCCCATCCAAGGCCTCACCCTTGAGGTAGCTCAATCCCTGAAATCTCGTCTCTCTCCCAGTAGTCAAATCCAGGTTGTGGCTTCAGTTGTTTTCTGTCTCCGTCTTTCATCTTACGACCTACAAGGAGTTACTTTCATCTGGTCCTAATGCAGATGAGACCTGCTCAGACCAAATATGGGTGATCCCAAAGGCTGCTAGAGGGTGTCCTGCTGTGGGACACCTGAGAGTGTCTACCTCCCTAAACTGAGGGTGGCAGTCACCTACATGGATCTGGCCAATGATTCTCCAAGAATGGAAATAAAGATTGGGCCATAAAGATCACGAAAGGAACTTGCACTGATGACTTATGCAAGACTCAGCCTTGGATTGCTTCAAGGTAAGACACTGGCCTTCACTCTGACTCACATGCTGCTGAATGAAGAGAGAGGAAATCAGGAAAACAGGTTGCTTGGGTCCAGTACAAATTTAGGTGACACGAGCTTGGCCGGGCCCCAACTGTGGCAAGGCAATCCTTTGATATCTCCCATATTGACTCTCGATCCCACTCACTATAGCAGCTTTTCCAAATCTTTTCAGTTCTCCCCAACCCTCCCATAGGGCTTGCTCCCACGAGAATATTTCACTAAAACAATCAGATGTTTACCAGGAACTCTCTTACCTTCTCCTCAGCTGACATAAATCAGATGCCTTTTTTTCTCCTTTACCCCTCTCTCACATGAAGAGGGGACCCTCCTGATTGACAAGGCAAACACACCTCAACAATCCCATTCCATCCATCTACTTCTCCAGCATCTTCCCAACTCTACCATCTACTTTTTCTCACTGATTATCAATCTTTCCATTTCTACACTCCTTCCTAACTGCCACAAATGAAACCATTTCCCCTTGGGCCTCAAAAAACTCATAAGTGATCCATCAATCCCCAGCAGATATCATATATCTCTTCCCATTCATGGCTAAATACCTAGAGATGGTCATCTACACTTTAGGTCTCCAACTCCTTTCCTCCTACTTTCTTAAAAAAAACTCTTCAGTCCATCTCTCAACTTCATTGTTCAAGTGAAATTCCTTTCTCCAAAGTTACCAGTGATTTCCTGACTGCTAAACCAAAGGCCCTTTTCTCAATCCTCATCCTTCTTGACCTCTCTGCAGCTTCTGACATTGTCACCACACCCCTTTCCTTGATACTTTCTTCTCTCTAGATTTTGGTGACATTCTTCTCTTTGGATTCTCCTCCTACCACATCCCAAACTAACCTATCTTTTCCCCAACCCTCCCATCTTCCTACTCTCCTAACACTATGCAGGTCACCCTCCCAATTGTCCAGGCTCATAAAAGAGATGTCATCCACTGCCCATCTCTCACATTCATACCATCCTCTGTCCCCTCCATCTTCAATCTTTTGGAAAGTCCTGCTGATTCCACCTTTGTAACATCTCTCACATACATCCCCCACCCCTTCTCTCCCAACACTGCCACCTAGGTTCAGACTCCAATAACCTCACACCTGTGGTATTGAAAAAGCCAGCTGTTTGGTCTCACTGCCTCAAGGGTCTCCCTAGATCAGTCAATGCTCTACCCAGCTGTCAAGTTCATCTTCCTAAAGCTCACATAAGCACCAAGATGACATATAAAATCTTCTGTTGGGCTCTTAGAGGCCTTCATCAGCTGCCCCTCTCCTCCCTTTCCAGTCTTCTTTCATCTTACTCCCCCTCCACATATAATCCAGTAGCAAAGGCCTCCTTTCTATGCCTTGAACAGGACACACCATCTCCAGTCTCCATGGACTTTCCCTGGCTGCCCCTCATGCCTAGAATGCTCCCCCTGGCTTCTCTGAGGCCCCAGACAAAGTTCACCCTCCACAATGAGGCTCTTCCAACCCTCCTTAATCTAAGTGCCTCCCCTCCCTTGACTAGCTCCAATCTAACCTGTATGCGGCATGTTTTACACAGTCCTATCCTGGTTATCTTTCCTACTGTCTGTGAGCTCCTTGAGAGCAGGGGATATCTCTTGCCATTCTTTGAACCCTTGGAACTTAGCAGGAGGCCTGACACATAGTAGCCACTTAGTAAATGCTTGTTGACTTGAACAAAAGCTAGTTAAGAGCTTGTATCAGACAGTCCAGGCCCTTCCTGGATACGTTCAGGAGACTTCCATGACCCAGAGCTCCAAACAATGGATCTTACAGACTCATAGTTTTATCACTGGAAGGGAAGTGAAAGGCCATGGAGTCCAACCCCTTCATTTCAAAGATGGGGAAACTGAGGGTCAGAGGGTCAGTGACTTGCCCAGGATTCCACTGCTAGAAAGTGTCTGAAAAAGAATTGCAAACCAGGTCTTCCTTTCCCCAAGTCTAGCACTCCCCTCACTGGGTCATGGAACTACCTCTTGTGATAACAGCCCTCACACACCTGCTTTCCCCTCACTCACCTGGACAGGAGGTTCTGGGGTCTTCTAGCTCTAGCATCCACGGTGTTTCCCCTTCCTCAAAATGGGAGATCAAACCTTCCCTGGGAACTGGAAGTCCTGGGCATGGGGATAAGGAAGGGATGAGGAGGGAGAGACATTCGTAACTTAGCTCTCTTTAGGGAAAGGGGTCCTGCGGGAAGGGTCACGGGGGGTTCCCAGGACATCTCAAGAACCTTGAGGTGGATGGGGGGATGGGAAGGAGATCATTTGGAAGCCAGTCTGGAATCAGAAAATTCTGTTTTCTCCACTTCCTTCATAGAAGGATTAGTTGATTCCAATATCTAGACATTAAAAGGCATGTGGCAGTGCAGTAGAGAGAGCCTTGGGCCTGGACTCAGGAAGCTCTGAGTTCAAATCTGGTCTCAAACACTTATTAGCAAAGTTCCTAAGGCAAGTCACTTAACAGCTCCTTGCCTCAGTTTCCTCAACTGTAAAATGGGGACAATAATATCCTCTAACTCACAGGCTTGTTGTGAGGATCAAATTAAATAACATTTTTGGCACAGTGCTGGCACATAGTAGGTATACATAAATACTTATATTCCCTTCCCTTCCTTCCCCACCATTTGTGCCAGAATTCTGGGACGGTCAAAAGGGAGAACAAGGACACACTTGGCACACCAGGCTTCTGAGAGTAAGACTAGGAGCAGTGAGCTACACATTCATGCTTGTTGACAAGAAGCACCTTCCAAAGACCCGACCCAACCCAAGGGGGAAGAGGCTGCTTTGGGAGGAAGGGGCTTCCTTCACTGCCCATCTCCTGGGCAGTTTCCAGAAATCTGGCAGAGAAAATTCAGGTTCAGGGAGAGGCAGACTAGGTACCACCTCTGGGATGACTTCCAAGTCTGAGATTCTTCAACACTGGGTCGATCTTTGACCTCAGGCTCCCTACAACCCGTAAGAGACAGCTTCAGGGGAAACAGAGGACACCCCCAGCTCCCTGTTACACAGTGCAAAGACCTTTCACTGGAAACCAGGCAGCAGGAGGACCCCGTCTCTAGGACATAAGAGATCTGCGTTTTGGCCTTTCCAATCATTCCTAAATGCTCCAAACCCTGAACACTGGGGGAGAATGAAGGCAGTTCCTTGGATGGTGAATTCAAAGCTCCAGAGAAAGTGTCCTTACTCAGAGACAGCAAGTTCTGGGCATTCTCCAGTGTGACCTCCTTGTACAGCTCTTTCTGAGAACGGTCCAAGAGGCCCCACTCTTCCGGGGTGAAGTCCACAATCACATCCTTGAGTGTCACCAACTCCTAAATGATCAAAAATGATAGCATTTAGAACCGAAAGAGACGTCAGAATTCACCTAGTCCAACCATCATCAATTTGCAGGAGGGAACTGAAGCACAGAGAAGGGATTTCTCCAGAGGTCATATCCTTGATGAGTATCAGAGCCAACACTTAGAACCATAATCATGAAAAGTCCAATGGAATATTGAAAATAGCTGTTTATGTTTACAGTTGGAATAAAATTAAGAAATGTGTCACTATGAATTGCTTCTCTCTACGGAATCAGAGAAGTTGTGTTCTATCAGAGATACTTGAAGATCTATGGAGGAGAAAGAGATAAGGTGATGTGAAATTTCTTCCTCATCAGAACAGACAAAAGTGATATGTTCATAAAGAAAATACCACGAAGAGTTGGTAAGATATTAGTATTCTAGGGGGTGGGTGTGGGGGAGGGTCCTGTGATTACTGAAAACGGAGTATAGAAAAACAAAAGATTTAGCTTACTTCCGGAGTGGCTGAAATAAAGTCTTATCCTGATGAAAACACGAAAAGCATTCCTAAGAAATATTAATCACAATTCAATCTGAACTGAGTGGCACAAGATTATTTCCATCAAGGAAAATTGAGATCTCTATTGTTATACTGAGGGCTTGAAGTAGCTCTGGGTATGCTATGTCATAGCCACCTTATTTTATGCCTTTGCTTTATGATTGCTTTCATCTGTTAATGGTAGATATTCACTCATTTTGATATTCAGTTATATAGAAATAAGAATAATGAAGAAGGCAATGGGAGGTTCTTTCATGTATTGATAAAGGTAATATTTTATTAATTGAGGTTGAAGTTCGGTCTGATTCATGAGAAAGACATTGTCAGTTTCCTTATGAGAAATAAAAGACCTAAAGATACCCTAGGACTCTGGGACTCAGGATGACAAGAATCAAGAGAATGAGTCGCTGCAGACAGATGGACAACATGCAGGAGGGCCGACCAGATCTGAAAACACATTGAGACTGGAAATGGGTCGTCCACTTCTCCAGTCTACTAAATGTAGAACACGTGTTTGGCCAATGCGCTAGGAACATTGTCTTCCATTTCCATTATGTAGTGACATGACTCACTTTTTTAGCGTTTCTATTTTTGCTGGGGGTGCAATTCTCTATCACGGAGATAAAATTCTTTTTATTTTTTTCATATTTTGATTTCTTCTTTAAAAGACTAGATTTATACTCTATTTGTAATCCATATGCATCTTTATCTTCCTTTATTACTACTATTTGTCTGCTGAACAATTAAGGAATTTGTTGTTCTTTTTTCACATTTTTAGATTCCCAAGAATTTACATACCTTTCCTTTTCACTGATTTTCTCAGTCGCTGTTCATTTTACAGTGTGGGCTCTCACCGTAGGAAATCAATCATTCTATTGATTGATAACTGAGTACAAACTCAGTCCTAACAGAAACTTCCAAGCTTCCTTTCCTTCTATCCTCAACTTCTTTCCTTCTGCATTCTCCCACATCCATTCTTCACCATGAACTCCAAAGCTCCATTTAAGGAGAGAGCTCAGCTCACACATCTCATTTCTCACCTGGCTGCACTACTTTGGGACTTCTCTGACTGACTTCTCCGCCATGCCCCAAGAAGCTTATTATTGTGATAACCTCAACATCCTGCAACATCTCTTCAGCCATGGCACTGTACCTCATTACTTCCCTCTGCCTCTCTGATTAGAGGGTAGGGCTATGCACTCCAAATCTCTATTTAAAGAGAGCCCAGCTCACACATCTCATTTCTCACATAGCTGCAGTACTTTGGAAATTCTGATTGATTTCTCCGCCATGTCCTAGTGTCTGGTAACTTCTCCCATCCCTCTGCACTTTTCAGCTTCTTTTTGTATGTTGTCCTCCCCCTTAGATTATAGGCTCCTTGTGGGCAGGAACTGTCTCATTTTTTGTATTTGCATTCTGCCCTCAGCACAGGGACTGGCACAAAGTAGGTACTGACTAAGAATGTACTGACTAATGACCGGCCAATCCCTCTCGTTTCAGCACCTTGCCCTTACTGTCCTTTCACAACTACAGCCATTCAAGCTGAGCTGCTCCTGCCTCCTTTCAGACATCTCCAACATGACGGCCAGTATCCTAAACTCACCATTTCCGTAACAGGATTGCCTACCTCCCCACTTGCTGTCAGAGGCAACACCATGCTCCCAGCAACCTCATTCTCAACTCAGTATCTCAATATTATTCTCAACTCCCATTTCTCACCCCTCTGATCCAATTGGCTGCCAAGGCCTGGGAATTTTCCCATGCAACATTTCTCAGATATACCCCCTTCTCTCTTCTGATACTGCAATCCCCTTGGTGTGGGCTCTCATCACCCGACCCTTGGGCTCTTGCAAAAGGCTGCTGCTGGGTCAGTCAGCCTCCAGATTCTTACCACTCAGATGGATCATTGGGATAAGAGCTCACTATTTGACAAAAACTGCTGGGAAAACTGGAAAACAATATGGAAAATGCAGCCTCTGAAGCTGAGATACAAGAAAATATGGATTGATTGCTGCTTGTGCTAATTTTGGCCTAACAATTAACATCAAGAAAATACAGGTGCTCCTTCAGCCACCACCACACCATCCTTACGGGGAACCATCAGTTACAGCAAACGGAGAAGCTTTGGATGCTGTGGATATGTTCATTTACCTTGGCAGTATACTTTCCAGGGATTTACACATTGATAATGAGGTTGACGCACACACTGCCAGAGCCAGCTCAGTGTGTGTGGGAGAGAAGAGGTATTAGACTGACCACCAAACTGGAGGTCTACAGAGCTGCTGTGCTGACCTCATTGTTGTATGCCTGTGAAACCCAGACTACTGGCGCCATGCCAGAAACTGAATCACTTCCATTTGAATTGTGTTGAAAAGATTCCAAAAATCACCTGGCAAGATAAGATACAAGATACTAAGGTTCTTTCTCAAACTAAACTGCCAAGCATTCAAACTCTACCGCAGAGAGTGCGACTCTGATGGGTTGGCCATGCTGTTCAAATGCCGAACGTACACTGGTCAAAAAGACTATTTTATAGAGAACTCACACAAGGCAAGTGCTCACATGGAGGTCAAAAGAAGCGATACAAGGACACTCTCAAGGTCTCTTTTAAGAACTGATTATGTGACATGGGGGACCCTGGCACAGGACGCCCAGCATGGCATGCCCACATCGGAGAAGGCGCTGTGCTCCATGAGCAAGGCAGAATTGAAGCCACTCAACAGAAGCATGAGATGGGCAAATTTAGAGAATCCACCCCAAATGGCCACACGTCCTATTTGTGCCCAACCTGGAGCATGGCATTACGAGCTCCGAGCTCGTACTGGTCTGATCACCAGTTGGACACACTGAGACTGGACTCTAACACAGCGGTCCTCTTCTTGAACAAAGGACAATGACCACCCATCGAACAGCACGGAAATATGCTTTACACCATGGCACCTAGATATAACCTATGTCAAATTCCTTGCCATCTTAGGGAAGGCTGGGGGGAGAAAGTTTAGATCTCAAGTTGTTTTTTAATGAATACTAAAAATTGTCTGTATGTATAATTGGGGAAAAAGACACTATTTAAAAAAAATTCTCCCCATTCCAACATATCTCCCATTTGGTCCACAAAGTAATTCTCCTAAATGACCGGTCTGATCATGTGACTCCTCTACTCTATAAACTCCAATGGCTCCCTACCACCTCCAGGATCCAACACAAATTATCTGGCACTCAAAGCCCATCACGACCTAGACATCACCTAGCATTAAGGTCTCCTTACACCTTATCTCCTGCCCTCTACTCATTGATCCAGTGACACGGGCCTCCTTGCTCCTCCAAGAAGAAGGCACTCCAACTTTTCGGTCAGAGCATTTTCTTGGGCTGTCCGCCATCATTTCAATCCTCTCGTCTCTATCCACTGGCTTCTGGCAAGTCCCAGCTAAAGTCCCACCTTCCACAGGAAGCCTTTGGCAACTCCTCTAACTCTAGTGCCTTCCCTCTTTTACTCATATTCTGACACTGAGAACTGCCTCTGATCAGGTTAGCCGACACTGGGCTCCATCACGTCAGCCAGGCATCGGGCCTCATGTTGGGGCTGTTGGTCCTCCAGAGACCAGGAAGTAAAATCAGCAGCTGGAGCCTGCGGTTCCCCAGAGCAACCAAGACTGGAGAAGGGTCTCAATGCATTTAAGAAAAAAAAAAACATCCAATTTCTGGTGTCAGATGTTAAGATAGGGACATTCATGGGGCAAAGGGAATGGAGCCAAGATGGGCCTATAGTCAGAAGACCCGAGCTCAAATCAAACCTCAGAAAATTACTAACCACATGATCCTCACCACGTCACTTAACCTGTTTTAGCCACAGTCTCCTTAATTGTACAATAGGGATAACAACACCTGCACCCCAAGGCTGCTGGGAGGATCACATTAGCTAACATTTGTAAAGCACTTAGCACAGAGCCTGGCACATAGCAGGCAAGGCACTATAGAAGGCACCGATTCCCTTCTCTTCCCTTCCTTCCACACCACCACCCCAGGGCGCTCTCCACACTCCTGCCAAAGTCATTTTCCTTAAGTACCGATTTGACCATGTGACTCTAGTCAACCAATCCCCAGTGGATCCCTGTTGTTCTGGAACCAAACATCAACCCTCTCCTGAGGCTGGAAAGCCCAACCCAAGCTGGCCCCAACATCTTCCAGCCTCCCGTCCTCCGAGATCCACCCACATGGGGCTTCTCTCAGGTTCTCAGAGCCTATAGCATTCCTCCTCCCACTTCTGTGCCCCGCCTGTCCCCCTTACCTGGAGCTCCCTCCCTCCTTCCCTCCACCTTGGAATCCCCTTCTCCCACCTCAAGCACCATCTTCTGCATGAAGTCACACCTGCTGTGGCCAGCTGCGGGTGGCCTCTCTCCTCCACCCCTGCTCACGTCGCCCCTTTTATGTATTTGAATTAGCTTTTATGTGGACCCCACCTCCACTGGAATAC